AGGAGCAGCACTGGAGGATGAAGATGCGCTAGGAAGGAGGAGGAAGACTGTGCGCTGGAAGGGATGCAGCCATAGCTGCCCAGCCAGTTAGTATAGAATTAGAGGGTTAGTAGTAGATAGCTATGAGTAGTATTCAGAGTAGATCCTTGTGAGTGAAGAGTGTGTATGCATCGTAGGAAGAAGAGACTGAGACCGAGAGTGTTCAATCAAGGTTTGGCTATGAAAGATACTTACCTGAGTTGGATGTGAACTGAAGAGGTGGCGCTGATGAGTAGTGATCACCTTGATGACTTGGATACAATCTGCAGAAGTAGCACTGATGTGCTTAAGTCATGATGATGAGTTGACAAGGGATTTACATTGTGCTGATGAGCGCTGGACTCAGGGAACTGTGGAACTCTTTGTAATCATAATTTTGATAATATAAGCGGTGCAACTCGGTTCTCTTCTCATCTACCTTTGTCTGATGTGTGAGACTGTTGATCACTGTGTGCGAGGATGATGCATGACATGTGCTCTCTTGCGTGAGATGGTCCCCAGGACCCATGCATGCTACAGAACACACCCCAAAAAAATAAAAAAAGCGTAATTATTTTTAGGCTTCGAGTTTGGCGGGTTCGGCCGGACCCCAGAATGTTCGGGGGGAGGGGGGGGGKTGGAGGCCGCCCCCGAACGTTCGGGTGGGTAGCACTGCAGATCATCAAATTCAGGGATCCGGAAGGCCTTATACTGTATTTCTTTTTATTATTATTAGTTAAAGAAATGAAATGAATCTTATCTTTTGCTCTCCAGTGCTAGGCTACCAGCCGGGCCGCCCGGGTCATCCTGTTTTCCCGGGCGGTCCGGGTGTGCAAGGACCAGGGAAGGTCCCGGCACAAAGAAAAAATAAAAAAATCTAAAAAGTCTGAAAAAGAAACTATGTTATGCAGAAAAATAAACTGAACAACAATCATAGCTGAGGCCTGGGACCTCACACAATTCAACCCGGAGTAACATATGCTGGAAAGTTGAAACTGGGTCCAGTGTCCCTTATAACCGTCTCCACCTTCAAACGGCAAAGAAACGAAACTGAACTACCGTCTTCACCCGAATAGAACGCCTGGTCATTATAGCTGTATCTGGACTGAAATTGCACCAGATACGGCTATAATGACCAGGCGTTCTATTCGGGTGAAGACGGTAGCAAAATGAAATGAAATCCGAGACAGAATGCACTGCCCACGACCGACCAGATCTACTACTAAAGCCCTAGGAGCAGAGTAATACCCTAATACCCTCATATCTCACTGTCCAAAGCACTGTAAAGAGCCTGAGCTGCCAAGACAGGTTTCCCACCACGCACCCAATGGATACACCTCAAGTCTGCTCTTCTCTTCACCAGTTCTCTCTTTGTGTCCGACCAGTAGCGTTCCCACTGCCCCTTGTCACACTCCCACTGTTCAAGGTGGCACTGCTATTTTCATGGAGTTTTTTTTTTTTCTTTTGAAAGTTTTCCATGAATTTCACACTAAGCCTCAGGGTAACATCGAAATTTGAAATTCTTTACCAAATTTGAAATGAAATTTAAAATTAGATTTATTTTATTATTATTATTATTTTTTTTTAATTTTTTTCTGCCCGGCCGGGGAAGTGGACCCTGGCCACTCTGGTAGCCTAGATTGGCGGGGTTTGTTTGTTTTTTCATGGAGTTTTTTTTTTTTTTTTTTTTTTTTTTTTTTTTTTTTTTTTTTTGCTTTCTCAAAAACATGAGGAAAAAAAAAAAATTTGAATTTTTTTTCAAAATTTGAAAAAAAAATTTTAAAAAAATTTTCCCCCCCCCCCCCCCCCTTTTGGCCCGGCCGGGCAAGTGGCCCCAGGCCACTCTGGTAGCCTAGCTCCAGTGGCATTACATTCACATTTGCGCTTATTGTTTATTTGAAAGAAAAATAATGTTTTTTTCCCCCCTCTGATGTACAAATGTTGTCACAGGCTGAGTGTGATGCAGTGCTTGCAGCCGTTGAACTCATAGCCAAGGCTGTCGAGGAGGGGATACCCTTATGGTACCACATGGAGATCCAGGGCGAGGACTTCCACGTCGATGAAGAACAACTGATGATGGTGAGAAATGGTTAAAATTGCGAAGATAAAAAAAAAAAAAAAAAAAAAAAAAAAAGACGAGTTCACAGAGACAAAAGCACGGAAGGCCAAGAGAAGAGTCGTGGAAAACAATCATCATTAAAATTGATTAAATGGATTTTCTAATGTAATGACCCACCAAAACACAGACTGAGAACAGTGCTGATTTCTGGGATTTTGCCGCTGGAATGTATGCCATGCTCAGATTCACGCACTGCGCTGAGTTTTCGAAGTCCGTGTGTGTGCGTGCTTGCTCGTCCGTGTGCCTGTCGGAGTGCACGTCCGCCTGAGTGTGTGTGTGGCCCGACAGGGGATTGTGTGTTGTGACCCTTGTGAGGCCTGCACGGCCGGTACATACCTGTGGCCATGACATTGAGGGTGGCAGCAGGGAAAACACTCAAGCAGCGGGGGAAAAACACTCAAGTAGCAGGTAGGCCGGGGTACCACTCAAGTAGCGGTAGATGTGTCGGGTACTTGAGGCCGAGCAGAAGAAGACAAAAAGTTGGCATTTTTAGAGGCCCAGTAGCGGTTGGCTAGAGGGAGACGGGTACCAGTCCAAGTAGCCTGAGTCTAGGCCTGTGCGGACGATATCAGAGGCTGCAATGATGTTTCCCTCCGAAAAGGAGGATGTATCGGTTGCTTGGAGGCCGCACGGCCTGGAAGTCACCGCCCAAGAGGCAAGTAGGCCGTTAATATCTCCAGGTAGAGCGCTGGGCTCTACCTCATTTGCTGTGTGCAAGTTTGGGCGTCATGCTGCTTGAGCGGGCGCTGGCACAGAGCGCTGCCTGGGAGGAAGCAAGGGAGCTGGGCGCTCTGCCTGGCTATGGCGAGCAGCCCAGCTTTAGGAGGAGGAAGGAGGGGGCGAAGGAGGAGAGTGCCACGGTACCTCCCTGCCTATGGTGGACACCATCTTCACCACCTTGTTAGGCGCTGCATCGGCAAGGCCCCAGTGGGGTTAGTGCCGCACCAAGGAAGCTTCGAGGCAGAGTCAGGCATGGTGGCCTGAAGAGCAGCGGCCATAGCTTCTTTGCGTTGTCTTTTGCACAGGAGGTCAAGGCCCTTAGTAGTCCGCCAAAGCCTGCGCCTGTGTGAGGAAGGAGAACAGGGAGGCCATGGCTATGGTGGACCTCTTGCTGTGCTGGCAGTAAGAGGGAACTTCGGATATTGATTCTGGTTCAACCACTCATTGACAATGTTTATATTATTATTTGGAAGAAGAATAAGGCAAGGACCCCACAGCTTTGCAGATGGAAAAGTGGTTTGCCCACGAAAAGCGGGCAAGTCATTTTGGAAAGTTGGACAGTACTTTTTCCGGGACCCCATCGCAGAGGGCCAAATGCGCTTGGAAAACCCTTTGGAAATCACTTGAGCCAATCGTTGCCTGTTTCCGTTGGCNTTGGAAATCACTTGAGCCAATCGTTGCCTGTTTCCGTTGGCACTCGTCTGTTTTATTCTTTTTTCCTTTTTTTTTTTGTTTTTTTTTTTGTGGCGCTCTTCATCTCTATTGGCTGCTGCCTTTTCCGAGACTTTTCCAGAAACAACATGCCCTCCCCCCTACCCTCTACAGTTGGCACAAAATTGCGGCGAGGAATCCTCCCGTGAGACTTTTCCAGGGCGCGGACTATGTGAAAACACAAACTAATGTTTTTCCAAGCCGCAATCTTCGGTCTGTGGGGTCCTGGAAAAGGGTTTGCGGAAGAAATTTCACCTTTTCCAGGACATTTGCGGCAGGCTGTGGGGTCCTGGAAACAGCTTTGCGGCAAAGTTTTTCCTTTCCGCTGTCCTGTGGGGTCCTTGCCTAAGTGTTTTTGGCACAGAGCAATTCCCAATGTACACAAGGGATGCTGGACCCGTTTTTCAGCAGGTGATGCTCCCCACCAATAGATGGAGCGGCCGGCAGCCTACTAGGGGAGGCTGCTCATATCACCCCCCCTATTAGGCCTGCTATGGCCTGTTTGAAAGAAAATAGATTGACGGAGACAAGGAGGAGGAGGAAATATGAGAGCCAAGGGGGATTTGTCATTGGTCTTGCTGGTGTACGTTGTCTCCTTCTTCTTTCTTTCTTTCTTTCTTTCTTCTTCTTCTTTCTTTCTTCTTCTTTCTTTCTTCTTCTTCCTTCTTCTTGGGTCTCTATCTCTTCGCAAGTGCTTTCATTTCTTTTGCAATTGAGTGGCATTGTCTTGCCTTGTGAATGTGCACTTCGGAAATAGCCAGGATCGTAACACTAATTTGAATTTGAAAATAATTTCTTGGACAGCTTGCCGGTTTTTTTTTGGGGGGGGAAGGGTTGCCCCAAATTTGTCACAGTAGATGGTAGCAATTGTGAAATTCAGTTTTAATTTTTAAAGATTTTTTTAGGATATTTAGTTTCTTGAAGTAGGTTAAAGTCCTAAAAGTTAAAAAAGGTTTTATTTTCTTTCTGTGATCAAACTTCATCAAAGTATAGGCGAGAGAAAAAAATATATATGACTGTTCCCCCATGAGGAGAAGGCAGCTTTTTAAAAAAGAAGAAGAAGGGAAAAAAAAAAAGAAAAGAAAAAGAAAAAAAAAAGAAAAAAAGTTTTCGCTATTGCTCATTTTCCTTGCACTAATCTGCCTTTCGTCAAATTTGAAATATTTTTGAAGGCGGTATGTATTTACACCAAGTTATTGATACCAAATTTGGGAAAAAAACACAAAAGGAGGCTTGTACAATTTCGTCGCACGAGCAAAATATTTCAAATTTAATGAAAAGTCAGTTCCTAGTGCATTAGCCAAATTGTCCTTGATTTCGAAGAACCTCGCGAGGGTCTTTGAAATTTGAAATGTCATCCTCCGAGTTTGGATTGTGGTGGCACCCTATATTGGCTGAGAGCCTTTAACGGACCTTTTTTCTTTTTTTGGTAAACGACAACTTTCTCAAGGCATCGTCCTTAGAACCAGTTTTTTTTTTTTTTTTTTTTTTTTTTTTTTTTTTTTTTTTTTTTTTTTTTTGAGAACGGATTTTTTTTGAATAGTCTATAACCAGGATGCTGAAAACTCTAAATTTTCTAAGGACCACTCCTCACATCTTGAGCCAGGTGCGAGGATCTGGGTCCTCGGCAGGCCTAAGGGGGCCCTGCCCGCAGATGTGCCCGCCCTAGGTGAAGGCGGGCCTAACAAATCACGAGAGGCCCTAAGCTATCAATTTCGTATTCGGGGTCCAGGCAGTTTCGTCGCGCCAGTTGGTTGAGGGAAACACAGGCCGACCAGCGAGACATTTCCACGGCCTTCCAGGCTTTTCCAAAAATGCAGGCCCTGGACGAGAATCGTAGGCTCATACACAGACAGTTGGGAGGCCCAACCGAATGAGGCCCAGTAGCTGCAACAGAGGCGCAGCATCATGGGGCCTACCGGAAGCTTCTGGGCCGAGGCCCAGGCCAGCCAGGCTGCGAAGGCAGGCAGACTCTTTCCATATAGGAAAGAGCTCGCTGCCTGGAGCCTCATTCAGCACTTGCATGCTGGCGGCAGTGCTGCTGGAGCCGATGCTCGTGAGCTGCTGCTGGCGCTGAGAGGCAAGGTGCTAGCTCGTGCGGTCGTGCAGGGAGCAGGGCGCTGCTGAGGGCAGTGTCATAGCCCAGCCTCCATAGCTGGATGGGCTTGGACTACAGTGAGGCGCAGGGGTGGTCTTCGGGTGTACAGAGGGAAGACGTGGGTGTAAGAAGAGGGAGAGAGAGAAGGATGATGATGATGATGATGTGAGGGCACATACCTGGTATTGGCGATAGTCTGCTTTGGGCGACATCTTCAAGTACTTCGTGAGCTGCTGACGTCAACAGTTGCATTGTCAATTAGTAGGCAGATCGTAGCTGTGTAGGAAGTAGGCTGGGCGCCGAGCGCCAAGTAGGGAGATAGGGCCTGGAGACTCATGTCGGTGGTGGTGAGAGCTAGCTCTCATTGACATTGGTTTTCAGTGTTACGAATCTTCATCGGTGTTATATTGGTGCATTTCTGCTTTCCGGACACTGTGATACTATCTGGCCTTCAATGTGATTGTGCATTCTGGTTATTGTCATCTCGCTACTGCTCATTTTCCTTGCGCAGGAGTTGACCCCTGAGGATGGATGACCAGCTGGCGACTGGTTGAAATGCGGCGTCGGGTCGCGCCACCGCATGTCATTACTATCAACGTTTTTCTTTCGTAAACGACGTGCACCTGGTGTGCCCATATTTTGTCTTGCATGTCATCTCTCTCCTTTACCCCCTTCGTCAGTCCTATTCTCATATGATTGTGAATGAATGGTCGGAATGCTCTAACGTGCACTCCTTAATAATTTCTTAGGAGTCCTAAGGAGTGCCTAATGAGACCCTTAGCCCGACGACAGCCTTTGGGTGCACCGAACGGGCATTCTCCTCCTCCATCTCCTCCTCCTCCTCCGCAAGTTGTCAGTGGGATGTTTGTTGTGCTCTTTTTTTTTTTCTTTTTTTTTGGGGGGTGGTGTGATTTTTTATTTTTCTACTTTTTTTCTAGGTTGTTTTTCCGGGCGCCCGGGCACCCAACTTGTGCCCGGACACACGCCCGGGTGCCCAGCCGGGCATGACCCCCGGGCAGGGTTCCGGGCAGCCCCAACGCAAAAAAAAAGAGAAAAAGTCAAAAATTTTCAGTAAAAAAATATATTGTGTAGAATTGCAATACAAACAACTTTTGGCTGAGGGTCACGTGTGGATTCCTCACCGAATCGGAGATAAAAAAGAATATAACAAAATCACACTAAAGGACCCCCCTTGAACCCCTCTTAGCCCCTTTAAAAACAATTTATACGCCCCTTTCCCCCCCTTGACAGCCAACTCTAAAAAAATGAAACGAGCCCGGATTTGGGGTCCTCTGGGACAGTGCAGAAAGGCAAAAAAAAATTATTTTTTTTTTTTTTGCACACCCGGGCGTCACGCCCGGGTGCCCAGCCGTGCAGTCCTGGGCGGGCATGAAAAACTTCCTATTTTTTTTTTTTTAAGAGGAACATTTATCGGTCCTCGCATCTCATCTCTTGCTTGCCTTATGCTCTCACTAATTAATTGGTAATATTGAGTCTATTGACCCATTATTCTCTCTCTCTTTTTTTTTTTTTTTTTTCTTTTTTTTTTTGGACGGGGGGGTTTTGGGGGAGGGAATCGTGTGATGTATTGGCTGCATATGCATGACTGGTGGTTTGAAGGACAAGCCCCCACCTCCACCGCCTCGGGAACCGTCACCAGTGCCAGGCGTGCCTCGTTGGGATACCATCCAGGCCCTTGCGAAGGAGTTCTCTCAGGCGTCATCAGGTGCGTTTATGAGTGTAGTGTTATACCCTCAAAGGGGGGGGGGAGGGG